ACTCATTATATATTATACATATATATATATATATATATATATATATATATATATATTATATATATATATTGGGTGATTCAATCGGATTTGAATTCCCAACAAAGACTCAATGACCTAGTTGGCTAAGGCGTACAGAAGAAGGTCCCTGGTTCGAATCCCGGTTGGCGTACCTATTTCTTCACACCCGCAGATTCCTCTTCTTTAACGTTTAAAATGTATTTACAGTATATATATATTTACAGCATTGCCGCAAGACGATTTAGAGTTATATCTCTATTATATCATAATTTGAAAAGCATCTATTCGGAGATCTCGTCTTGTCGTAAATTACTGATAAGAAGAGGGCATATCATGTTGATCTCTGTTATTTGCCGTGCACCAAGGACTAGCGCTTCCTAATACACATGCGCCTGAGAGTGGAGTTAGGTGTTTCAATCGGATTTGAATTCCCAACAAAGCCTAAATGACCTAGTTGGTTAAGGCGTCTGCATAGACAGCAGAAATTCCCGGTTGGAATTTTTTCACACTCACAGATTCCTCTTCTTTAACGTTTAAAAAAATGTATTTATACCGCAACGATTTTGAGTTTAGTTGTTTTCGTGTGTATATTTTTTAATGAAAATATGTGATTCGAATGAAACGCGGATTATGTGTGTACAGTAGATACGGCCACTTTGTTTACAAAGTTCTCTCTCAAACCATATGGACGTTAAGTCTGAGTATATAGTGAATCCATTTAAAACGCTGTTTGTGATTTTCGATTTAATTTAGAAGCCCGTATGCAGACACACAACACTTTGTCGTCGTAGAGCGCAAGTACTCTATCGTGCAGCTAATGTTCATTGAGTGTAGGCCTAATTGCCTACTCGATAGCGTTCCTGACAACCGTGTGGTTAAGCAGTTTGTGCATAACAGATTACCTGCTGACGGTTTACAAGATGTACTAATCGAAAACATGAGCTCCGCTCACCTGCAATATTGTCCAATGTTCTGCGCTTGTCGACAGATCTGGTGATATTTCAACAGGGAACAATATTCGACTGGCCTTGTGTCATGGACTAGACAGAATTGCTCTCGTCTCTTATGATCTGTTTCTTTATCTCTGTTGATAGTTGAACTGCTATTATTAAGTTTATGTTATATTTAAGGTGAAATATTACTACGTTAATGTTATTAAGGTGAGTTTGAATAATTTTTTGTCGTATTATGTTGAAAAATGAATTGATATTCAATTAATTCAACTGTAACACAATTCAATAGTATCACATTATAGCCTTGTTGCTTGTTTGACACCCGAAAAAGGTCCATTACATGTTTTCTAGACAAACTGTGATTTGAGATTTGAGATCAAATAATAATAATAATAATAATGACAATAATTTAAAATTTGGATAGCTAAGATCCATGCAATGCTGGTCGATATCATTGGTCGATAGCTTCATAATTGATAAAATAATAATCAACATAATAATCGATACATTAGTAATCGATACGAATTTGGGGATCGAAACGTTATAATAAAACAATAACATCCTTGTATAGGCCTAATATATTTCTATATCTTACGGTAGTCGTTAACAAAATACCAGAGATGCCACCATAATTGGTATCATAGACCTTTGCTAATATTGAATTCATAATCGATAACATGATGAATCGATATAATTGGGGACATAATAATCAACACAAGAATTGATACCGCAATAATCGATATCACATTGATACTATTAAGCCTATATCGATATAATAAGATTGATATACCATATTAACGTGTTTAGTATTTAGCCTATTGTAGCTTCCAAGAAAGAGAAAATATTGTCTTCACAAACCAGACGTAGTCTATGAACCATAGGCCTACCGTTCATGTATTTTTTGAATCGGTTGGTTTGGTAAGTTTGAACAATTAAGCCTAGGCCTAGGCCTATATATTGAAGCTGATAACTTACTTGATTTTTCTTGTCTTGAGTACTTTAGTGTTTTAATTACATATATGAGGGTTTTTATCCTCGTTTTTAGCATTTAGAAGAAAAATATTAGCTTACTGTATACATTACAGATATACGAAACGGAGAACTCGCCGATTATGCGTCTACACGATTTCCACTATTTTAAAGGCAGTAAATATTGCCAGTTAGTAACCGCATAAATGATAGGAACAGGTTTATTACGCCGCTACCCTCAACAACGAAACGTAGAATATCTTTAAATCCAAAAATGCAATGCTTTCAGGAACAATCGATCAATCACACGTATAATAGCAGCACGTTTAATCATGTAAGCTTTAAATTGTTTAAAGTGGCAATCCCACAGATTCACGGTGTAAATCTTTCGCTCCGCATTCTTTCTGATACCATAAACTTAGCTCTTTAAAATTATGATTATGAGATTGACTGTGATAATGCAGCGCGCACTTTCATTACGGACGCGGCCTCTGGCAATTAGAGTAACAGTAGTGGGAGCTTTTACGTGCAGTAGGATTAGCACTCTACACTTTTCTTTTACAAGAACCTATTTCCTATTACTTTTTTTGCCAATTTCAGGCTCAAAATGTTCTTATTTGTTTTTATTTTACACAATTTACAAAGATAGAAAACTATTATTGTACAGCATTACTGTAATGTATTAAAGGGTACGGTATTACGTCACAAGTACTGTACATAGGTACAAGTAAGACCTAACGAATTTTACACAATAATACTTTACTTATGTGACTAGCTTGATTTGTTGGTTTTCCTTGAGTTTTAAATTAAAACCTCATTTGAAATTTTACCTCAGTCTCGATTTTTTTTTTGGCCTTATTTTTTTAAAGCAGTTTCAACCTCCGTGTTCTTATAAAATGTGTTCTTATATATAAGCAAGTGTAGTAGTATAGTAGTTGACATAGTAGTGTCTGTAATATGCCGTAGCATCAGCAGCAGCAGTGGTAGCATATCTGTACTTGTAGCAGTAGCAACAGCAGCAGAAGTAGCAGCAGCAGCATCCGCACATATATCTACTGCATTATCACTTATATACGGTACATAACTCGCTAAATATATATTCTTTATTCCTGTGCAATTTTACTTTAAACCATGGAAAAATGGCATGAACAATTTGGCATTCGTTATTTTGAATTAAACTCGAAGCATTTCATCGATCGACATCAAATTAGATATCACAATCTAAAGTATGCTTGAAGTCATGAAAAGATAGAAAAGAATGGCAGTGAAGATGATAGGTATAGATTATGTCTAATTTTTTACTGCATCATACTTTGGATTAAATATGGACAAAGGAATGAGGATGGATTTTATTATTCTCTCTGTGGCAGCACCTCATTGTATAAGCAAATGAGCATATTATAATCATGACAGTGTAGCTAATCGCAGAGATACAGTATCGTCACAATATCTAGGGATGTCATATGCCCCATCGTGGGGCTGAGGCTGTCTCTTATACACATCTCACACACAACGTAACATATTTGTAAGAACAATATTTTATCTACCTTGAAAGCTTACTTAGGGTAAACAATAAACAATTTGATATGGTATATTCAAATCTTATTATATCGATATGATGGTATCAATGTGCTTTCGATTATTACGATCTCAATTCTCTTACCGATTATTTATGACCCCAATTATATCGATTCATCATGGTATCGATTGTGATTTCAACATTAGCAAAGGTCTATTATGATACCAATTATGATGGCATCTGTTAAATGCTGCAACTGTACATCTTTATAATCTGATTTATGGCTTCAATTTGATTTGTGATACAGCAAACAATCTAAAACAAACCAATCATTTATTTTTACATTAATTGATTATTCAGCCATATACAACGTTATTATTTCCTATCATATATTTACTTTTATTCAGCCATAAAAAACTAAAATATACAACAAAAAATAAAATAGTTTCTTTAAAATTTGCATCTGTTCCAAAAACTTACCCACGTACGTCCACCATGAAATCCAGGTGGGTATTAATGATTGACGATTATCATTTGTTAAGGTCAGCGATCAACTAACACAGTTTCACGGGAAGTTCGTGTTACATAATAACATTTGAAGTGACACATAGAGGTTAACTCAACCCAGAGGACATAAGTGAGATTAATATTGGATCCAGAAAATTACAAATAACAATAATGGAAACGTTGATGACAGATGAAATTGAGTACTTATTACTTTGATAATTGACAGAAATGTATAGAAACGTCTACATACACTCTTGCGTTCTCAAATGGTGTCTTTTGACCTGATGTTCTTTGGCATGTGTGCCATGTGGGGGGGGGGCGTGTGATGTGTTCATTACTCCTTATACATACATTTAAATGAGACCGTGGGGTTATAATAATAAAT